TTAATTTATAGTTCAATGTAATTTATAATAGCTAAATATAAATACTTATTACAGCTGTTTATTAGAACAAGATTAAAATTGAAATTTTTGCTGCCCAACAAAATACATCATACCACTCTGTGTCTTTGACAAAAAAAAAGGTTGTGAATTTTTGTATGCCTGAATTGATTTGAAATTGGGTATAAATTGTATATTTATTTAACAGTTAATGAAAAAGCTGGTTATTTATATAAATATTGGTCTGATTGAATATCAAATTTCGTACACGGTGTTTGTGAACCCTTGCGGAGGCCTGCAACTATGTTTTGAAATCCCATAAACGCTGAACTACAACTACAGTCGTTGTTAATGTCATCAAGATCGAGATACCGGACAACTACTCCACTGTCTTGATTAAGTGCAAACGTTCCCTATAAAACCATAAAAAAATATGATTAAATAAATTTAATAATAATAACTATTTAAATCAGACAAATTAATTTCTAGAATACGGCTAGAATTAGTTCTTTAATCACATTATACGTATGTACATAATATTGTGTTGCTAAAGTTTACAATCGATGGCCAGTTACAGTATGAAATTTATATTTTAAATGCCAATCATCTGCTTCATCATAATAGCTTTTAGGACAACATATATTTTATATGGATTCATTGCACATTATCTACACAAAAAGTGGAATTTTGGCTTTACTAAACTATATCTGTAAAATATTTATACTCTTAATATATTAAACGGTAACTAAATTGGTAGAGCTACAAAAATATTTTTTTAATTTGTTTAGTGGATTTTAATTTCTAAATTAAAAACTGAAATCATGCTAATACAGAATTTTTAAAAACCTATTAAATATATTATCAAAAATAAATAAAAGATTTTCATTTTATACAAGTTTAAAAATCTAGAAAATATATTTATTTTCGATATAAGTACTTAGAGACTGCCAGTCTGCTTGTACAAAGTATGATACAAATATAGTAATCATAATATAAAATAACGATCATTTGGCGATCATATATACATATGTATGAAATTTCAATTGGTTTAAATTATTTTGAAAACTAATATTTTAGTCCAACATTTATGATTTTACCTTGTCAAAAAAATATATTGTATTTTGTACACACGAATTTGAAATATTCAATTTTCCTTGACACACCTAAAACATATTAAATGTACCTAATGAAAGAATCAAATGTGTTTTCTTAAAAATATTGAAATCTACGATACTTTTGCATATGTATTCACCGTATTTGGAGAACTTGCGTCTACTGGAGCTAATTCAATCTCATAGGTGATTTTTGTAAGACATATTTTTGTTGACTTTAGATATTCTGCTACTTCTTCCTAAAAATTATCAATTAAGATGGTGTCATTACAATTTTTAATTGACATTATTAGATAGTTATATATTCTTGGTTTATGCCAAATCATTCATTGATTAATATATTCTCACAAGGTATCTATAACTTTTTTATCAACTTACACCTTTATTTCTTTTCCTGCTTTTCATATTATTTCTTATTAAATTGTTTACTATATTATTACTCGCCACTTATTTAACGCCGACCACCCCTGGACTATAGGATACAACTTACCTTTTTGAAGGAATTAGAGAACAATTTTGCTTATAACCTCCTCCCCACCCAAATATCCCATAGGCAATCGTCCCCTCAAAGATTTAAAGAAATTTCAATATTAACAAAATACT